GGGCTAAGGACCCTACAGACCCCTCTCCAGCCCCTTGGTGAGTACATTTGGAAGGGTTTGGGAGGGGCTGCACTAGGTGGGGGCAGGAGAAGCAGGGTCTTTGGTGGGGTGGTGGGTAGGGCAGGGAGGAGGATAAGACAGAAATGGGGATGGACCCTAGAGAAAGGAGGAGGTCAGGGAGGGGTCCAGAGGGCAAGGAGGCGCTGCTGTGGCATTGGACACTGACTGCTCCAAACACCCTGTCTCCTGGCTTTGAATGGATACATCTGATGTTTTTCTGGGCTTCCGCTGGCAGAGAAGATGGAGACCCCCTCAGGAAACTGGACTTGGGGCTGAGAAGGGATTAGGCTGTCTTGTAGCAAGCAGAGCCCCCAGCATCCTGGAGGCACAGTGGGAAGGGCTGGAGGCCAGGAGGCAGCCCTCACCACCAGCATCCTGTGGGAGGTTGACCCCCCTTAATTGGGGTGCCAGTCCAAGAACCTCCTCCTCTCCTCCCTCAGGGTACCCTGAATCCCACCACCCCGTCTACCTCCGCCCCGCCAAGATGGACTGAACCAGGCTGCTGGCCAGACGGACAAGCTGGATGCCAAGGTGGGTGTCGGGCCAGAAGCCAGTGGGAGACCAGGCAAAGAGCCCCAGGGCTCTCTGGGGCCAAATGGGCACATGGATGGCCATGCCAGCCAGGAAACATGGCTCTGACATGTGCAGGGGCCCAGAGGGCCCTCCCTATGTCCCTAGTATCTTGGGCTCCCACAGGGCAGGTCTTAGTCCTATGTCCAGGCAATGCATAGACACTAATGGGCACCTAAGCCAGGTGCCCACCCCGTGCCCTCGGACTCCACAATGTGGAGGTAGGCTGGGGGCCAGAAGCTCTGATTCTTGCAGAGCTGCCAGCTCCTGGGCTGGCAGCTGGGGCGGGGGTAGTCAGCTTTCATTAGGTCATTCAGACACATGCAGCTGAGGAGTGGTCAGGGCCAATGGAGAGAGGTTCAGCTCTTCCCGCAAAGCACACCTGCAGCTCCACCCAGACTGACCCAGGGGCTCCTGCCCGACTGGCCGGAAGGAGTCAGGCAGTCTCCAGCACCCGGACAGTCTCCTGTCCCTGGGTAATCAGCTGCTCACTGAGGTGTCAGATGAGAGTTCTCTGCCCCCTGACCTGGGCCACTAGGCAAGCAGGATGGCTGCTGAGATATGAGAGTGAGGAGGTAGTAAAATAGGCTGCAGAAGATCGGCTGGTGGCTGGTGGCTGGCAGTCTGGGAGCTGGATCCTAAGTGCAACGAGGAGTCCACAGTGTGGAGAAGAGGCTAGGCAGAGGTCATGTAGGACCTAGGAAGGACCTTCCCATTGTACAGATGGAGGGACTGAGGCTGGGAAAGGGATGTGCTCATGGTCAGGGTAGGGATATTTAGGAGTCCATTGGGGTTTGAACCCCTTCTTCTCACCCTCAGCACAACACTGCACTGCCGCCTCCGTGAGCAGGAAGGTGGGGTGGGGGAGCAGGGGTGCAGCAAGCTCTGTGAGGCAGGAGCTCGGGCTCCCAGCGGGCGGGCGGGGAGAGGTGGGTGACTGTGCTGGGTTTCTGCTCTGCTCTGGTGCCATGGTGATGCCTACAAGGACGGGGGAGGGAGAAGAAAGGAAATGGGGAGGGGAGCGCAAGGAGCAGGGGCCATTCGGATAGGGGGGATGAGGGGCCCAGCACCTCTGATGCCACACTGGCAGAGCCAGAGCGAGGTCCAGAGCCAACCTGCTAACAGCCAGCTCCGGCATGATCCCGCTAAAGCCAGTGACTGGTTAAGGTCCACCCAGGTGAGCAGATTTGGCCGTGGTTCTAGGGCTGATGCTCCTCTTCTGGCTCAGCAGTACATTTCTGTAGCATTTAACTGATGGCTACTGCCCTCCACACAGCTAATTGGCACTCCCAGTGGTGACTATCGCACCTGAAAATGCGATAAATCCTATTTGTTTACTCCCTCATTCCCAAGGCCAGGTATGGGGTGGAAGTTTCAGGCACCTTTAATGGGTCAAGAGCCACCTTTGGAGAAAACTTAACCCCAGGCGAGAGAGCCGCCTTGGACACGCTGGCTTCTGGGTTGAGGCCCCAACAGAAGGGACCATCGGGTAGACCTGGCTGGAAGGAGCACCCACTCACTGCCTATGTGAGGCTGCAGGTGCCCAGCTCCATGGGCCCCTCCGCATCCCTCCCCCCAGTATTGTCCCATCTCCCAGGCAGGGTTCCGCCTATTTCCAGACAATCACAAGATGGCTGCACTCCTCCCTCCGAAATCTCTTCCCCAGCATGCCCTCATTTTCTGCTTCCCCTGGTACACTCCTTGACCAGCAATAAAGTTCAGAAAAGCCTGGCGTTCAGGAGCCCCTCTCCCTCTCTCCAGCTCTCTCCCCCTGCCTCCCCCAGTGACTCTCTCCCCTCCCCCGCAGTCTTCTCACCAGCCAGATCCCCAGCCCCTGGGGATTGGTCCAGGGCGCTGGCAGTCAACAGTCTGGCCTGCTGCACTAGAGGCTCTGACCTCATCCCTTAACCCTTTGAGCTCAGGCCAACATTTTCCCCTGCCCCACCCACAGTGACAGACACCATCACACCTCCACGCCTGTCCTATCACCTCACTTAGCTTCCCTGCAGCTGGGTGAGGCAGGGCTTCCTTGCTCCATTTTACAGATGAGGATGCTGTTTTTCTCCCATGCTCTCAAGCCAGACAGGGCCTCACTCAAGGGAGCAGGGTCCTGGCAGATGGGGGAGCTAGAGGGAGCAGAGGGGGCTCCGGGCCATGCTCTGGAGCCGGTCCTGACCCAGCAGGCTCATCCTCAGACTGAAGTCAAGTACACATTCATGTATTTATTCCACAAATATTTATTGAGCAACTACTATGTGCAAGCCCTGGGATAAAACAGTGAGTTAGGCAGACACAGCCCCTACCCTGCCTCTCAAAGAGCTCAGGCTGGACCTCCCCCTCCCCTCAGCGCTGTCACCATATATCACCCAGATAGATGATAGACAGACAGACAGACACACACACACACACACACACACACACACACACACGGGCCAGATTCTGAAGGAAGGACCGATTCCTCACTGTTGACTGATTCACACTAGGACTTGGCCAAGCTAGTGGAGGTGGGCAAGGAGGCAAGAGCCCTCCATCCCCTCCAGAGCAGCTGGTCTCTGAGGCAGACCACCTGCTCCAAATCCTGGTTGCATCGCCAGTGAGCTGTGAGGTCCTTGGAGTCTTGAAGCCTCAGTTTAGGCCTTTTGCAAAAGGCGGATAATAGAACCTACTTCACAAGGGTTGTAACAGGTAAATTAGATCAGGTATATAATACTTAGGGCCATGTAGGGTATATAGTAAGTAGTTAGTGTCAGTTGCTATGGTAACATTAGTAGTATTATTAAAGGCTCCCAACAGCTTTCATCAGGGGGCTACAGTCCTGGGCAGAAACCACCTCTCCACTTCGTTGCTACCTTCCTATACCCCAGACATGACACCCTCTGAGGATGGGTCCCAACCCATCCCCACAAAGCTTGGACTCACCCCACCATTCCCAGCCTCACTCAGCAATGCACACGCCCTCACTCACAAATATTCATCCTAGGAGTTCACTGCCATCCCACAGAAGGGTAACCAGGTCAGGATAGTGACTTGCCCAAGGTCACACAGCAAGGCAAGAGCTTGCAGCCAGGCAGACGTGGTGGCAAGGGCTGCCCTGGGGAGTCTTCCTCCCACCCGCCGCAATCCCCATTGACGCGTCCTCAACCCCATGGATGGCTTCCCAGAATGTGCTCTGCAAATTCAGCTTCAGGTCCCCCTTTCAAGCAGATGACTGACCCTCAGCCCCTCCTGTGTAGAAATTGTGGAGCCACCACTGAGCCTTGGTACCCTAACTCTCAGCCCAGGGCCGGTCTCCCCAGGGGAACCTTCCCATCGCAGGAAACAGGTTCTTCCCCAACCACCACCTTGCCTGTCCTGTGGCCTTAAACAGGTAGAGGATTGCCCCCAGTCGAGAATTAAGGAGACTTGGACAGGGTCACACCACAGGGACTAGAGCACGGCTCCAGAAACCTTCTCCTGAGTTCTTTCACTGTCCAAGAAAGGATTTGGGGTGGGGGAACCCCTGCTTCTGATTGTGGAGAAAAGCCCTTCATTGACTAGTCTGTTCTTAGGCTGAATCACAGGGGAAGAGGGTTCAGCAGTGGGAGGCAAGAATCAGGCTCCACTTGCCCAGAACCGCTGCCCCTCTCCATCCCCGCAGCCGCCTGGGCCTTAGCCCTCACAGCACACAGGTGGGGCAGAGCGGAGTTGCCCACAGGTCCAAGTCAGGATCCCAACTCCACCACCTCTGTGGGACCATCAGAAAGCCACCTAGCCCCCTGAGCCTCATTGTCCTCACCTATAAAATAGAGATAGAAACGCCCATTGGGGTGTCCTATTAGATTAAGGGAAATGATATCATACATCAGGTACCCAGCATGCAGGAGGTATTAATTATGGTGATCATCAGTATGACTATTTAAGTAGGAGACTTGGAAGGGACTTCCAGACATCGAGGGAAGGGACTGCCAGCTTTTTCACCTCCAAGGACCCCTTGGGTTGCTTCTTACACTTCCCCCTGTTCTGAAGCTTATTTAAAATTCACCAAAGTTATAGGAAGCCTTGTAATGGGCAGAGGTCACCATGTTCCCATTCCGAGTTGATGCCATTGCAGTCCCAAGTGGGACAACCTAAGTGAGTCCTCAGTCTTACTCCAGGGACTTGGCTCCTTCCTGTTTAGCATCTTGAGATGTGGGTTTCAGGACCCCATAAAATCTGCCCCCCTTCGCCAGACTGGTCCAACTCCTTCACTACCGATGAGCAAACTGGAAACCAGAGAGGGGCTGTGCCTGGGGTCTGGAGGGGAAGGGGCTTGCTAGGAAGGGTCTGGGCAGTGGATCAGGAGAAGGAATTGGGAATAACAACAAAGGCCTTTAGTAGAGTGTCTGTTTCAGTGCCAGGAGCTTTGAACGCTATTATCCCCCTCAGCTGGGGAATGAGGGTAGCAGGGGAATGAAAGCGGAGTGATTGCTGATGGTCACACAGCTAGAAAGGGACAACCCAAGGCTGGGATCCACAATGCCAGGACTAGGGTGAGTCAAGTGAGGCACTCGCCTCAGAGCAAAATTTAAAAGGGGGGGTAGGAGGGGGGACAAAAAGGCTCACTAATCAAGATAATATCGTAATGTAATATTTTAAAAAATCAAATAGCAAATTATAGCCCATAGACTGGCCATCTGATTTTGCAAATAAAGTTTTATTAGAACCAGGGCCAGGATCAGAGTGAGGCAAGTGATAGGGGGCTGTTGTGCAAGTGCAGGGCTGGATCCTGTCTTTGTTTAACATGTTCATCATGGACTTTTTTGCATTAATTGCCATTCTTATAAATATTGCATGAAAATATTTTCTTAATTACTGAGTTTTGAGGCACCCCTTAAATTTTGCACCTGAAGCAAGTGCCTGACTTGCCTTACCCTAGTCCTACCTGCTGTGGGACAAGGGGCTAAGCTTTGAAATCTGCTCACGCTGATGAGAGGCGCCTGCAGCTGGGCAGGGTGCAGTGCTCAGGCCGGCAAGCTCCTCTGGTCTGAGCCTCTGCAGGTCTTTGCCCAGGCCGGGGCTACAGAGCTGCTCCAGGCTACCTGGCGGGTGTGACATGGGGGGCAGCACCCAGTCAAGGAGCCAGGGGACCTTGAGCTAATGATCCTTTCTACCCCATTTTCTCTGCGCCTCAGTTGCTCCCTTTGTGCAATGGGCATTAAACAGCACTCATTTCAGAAAATCAAAGTGACAAGAGTTGTATCGGGCAAACTCAAGTGTGGTATCCACCAGCAGCCTCACAGGTACAATAAAACTCAGTGATCGAGACAAATCACAGCCCTTTTGTCACGACAGAGGGGTCTGTTTGCTGCTCTGTGGTGAACATATCTTTCTCTTAGTCTTGATCTTGCTCTTGCTCTTGCTCTGTAAATCTATCTTGTCCTTCCTCAATATACTTCATTTCATACTTGCCTTGAAAGAAAAAAGACAAATCATATTTTAAAGTAATAGTCTTAAAATTCAAATTGGCAAACTACGGCCCTGGGGCTCACCTTCAGTTTTTATAAATGAAGTTTCATTGGAACAAACTGCCTGGGCTCAGATCCTGGTTGTGTGATCTTGTGCAAATTCTCTTGCTTTTCTCAGCCTCAAATTCCTCAGCTATAGAATGGAGACAATAGCAATACCTAGGTCGCAGGTTCCAGTTAAGATTAAATATGAGATTATGCATATAAGCCCTTTAGCAATGACTAGCACTCAGGGAGCACTAACAGCAATGAGCATTATTATTATTAGTTGCTATTGCAGTATTACAAATTGTTTGTTTGTTTGTTTGTTTGTTTGTTTGTTTGTTTGTTTTGAGACAGAGTCTCACTCTTTGCCCAGAGTAGAGTACCATGTCGTCAGCCTAGCTCACAGCAACCTCAAACTCCTGGGCTCAAACAATCCTTCTGCCTCAGCCTCCCAAGTAGCTGGGACTGACTACAGGCATGCACCACCATGCCCAGCCCATTTTTTCTATATATATTTTTTTAGTTGTCCAATTAATTTCTTGCTATTTTTAATAGAGATGGGGTCTCACTCTTGCTCAGGCTGGTTTTGAACTCCTGACCTTGAGCGATCCTCCTGCCTGGGCCTCGCAGAGTGCTAGGATTACAGGCATGAGCCACCGTGCCCAGCCTGTTTGTTTGTTTTTTTGATACAGAGTCTCAGTCTGTTGCCCAGGCTAGAGTGCCATGGCGTCAGCCTAGCTCACAGCAACCTCAAACTCCTGGGCTCAAGTGATTCTCCTGCCTCAGCCTCCCGAGTAGCTGGGACTACAGGCATGTGCCACCATACTCAGATAAATTTTGTTTTTAGCTGTCCAGCTAATTTCTTTTATTTTATTTTCAGTAGAGATGGGGTCTTAGTCTTGCTCAGGCTGGTCTTGAATTCCTGACCTTAAGTGATCCTCCCACCTCGGCCTCCCAGAGTGCTAGGATTACAGGTGTGAGCCACCACAGCCGGCCAATATCAGAGATTTTTAATCAAAGAAGTAGACATTCCTACACAGGAAGGAGCCCTCATTGCTACACATACTGAGTGTTAATAAGGACCCAGTGCTTGCACGTGCCGGGGGCCGTTCAGGCCCTCTACATGCATTGCCTCGTTTAATCCTCACAATTCCTGGAGGTATTAGCTAGTAGTAGCTAATAGGTATTATCCCCATTTTTCAGTTGAGGAAACCAAGCCATAAAGAAGTTATGTCACCAGTAATATTCACACACTCACACACCCAGTAAATGGCATTGCCTGGATTCAAATCCAGACAGTCTGGCTCCAGAGTCCAGGTTCCTTAACTGTGATGTTACACATGCGCCCTCACGTGCAAACTGTCCCAGATACACTGACAGCCACAGTCTTTCCTGCTCATTCTGTCCCACGCTGAACTCGCCATGCTGAGAGCTGCTCTTACACACTGACAGTTTGCCGTGGACCGTGGGGATGGCCTCAGCCGCACACCACCCACCCAGGCCACCTATCACAGGGACAGCACTTCAGTCTGTCACGGGCCTGGTGCCCAAGGAACACCGGAGGTTGGTGGGCCCTTGCTGAACATCTGTCCCTTGAAATCTTCCCAACAATACAGCCCCCGAAGGCCATAGCTGTGAGCTGGGGGGACCCTCAATATTTTCAGTGGACAGATGAGTGCCTGAGGCCCAGAACAGGAAGGGACCCACCAAATTACAAGGCAATAAGGCCATAGCTAAGCTGGTCTGGACCTTCACCCTTTGCTGTGGCTTCACCTTGGTTGTGGGGGCCTCCTGTCCAGCTGGGAGGCTGTTAAGGGTCCTGGCCTGCCTTTCTCTTCACCCAGCCCTAGTGCCCGGGCCAGATTCCAGATCCAAGAAAAGTCTGGAGGATCTTCCCGTTCCCTTTGCTTCCCAATACTCAGCTGGGGCCCAGGAACAGAGTGGGGAGAGGGAGGGAGGCTTCCCACGCCCCATCTGGGGCCAGACCCCTACTTAGCTGGGAGCTGGAGCCCTCATCCCTGCTGCCTGCTTTTACCCCAGACCTTCCTACCACCAAGCGGGTGGCCGGGCCCAGCACAACTTTCCCTGCTATCCTCTTAGAGGGTCCAGTTCAACCCCAAACACCACCTTCCTCATGTGTGTATGTAAACCCACATGCACAGAAAAATGTACAGACATAAACATAAACACACACACACATGCACGGTGCCCCTCTGCTCTCATCTCTTTCCCCTCATCCTCTCTGAGCCCTCCCCTTCTTCCCATCTCTCCTTGTGAGATGGAGGAATCCCACTGGAGTGCCACATACCCAGTGAGAGTGAGAAGTGGCTTCCAATTGTACTCACCACCCATGTCACCATAGCCAGGCCTTATAGCTGCTCAGAGCCATCATCTCAGTAAGCCGTAACGAGAGACCTTCCTTCTAGAGATGTACCACGGCTAAATTCGATAACTCAATTAAGGGCTTAGCACTGTGTCTGGCATGTAGTGACTACTCAGTAAATGAGCACTTTAATAAAGTTGAGTGAAATGCTTTGAGAATTTGGCAGGACTGTACACAAAGTGAGTCTCCTCCCAACTCCTGCCACATGAGTTAAGCAAGGCAGGAATTAGTAGTAATTTCCCAATGAGAAAATTGAGACTCCGAGTCTGAATGGAGAAGCTGGAATAGGGCTCAGATCCCTGGATTCCAAACCCTCTCCATGCCGCTGGCAAATCCTCTCGAGGCTGGGAAGGAGCTCTGTAAGTGGGCCTGTGTGAGCGCCAGTAAGGGAGGGCAGGGGCTGTGTCCTCAGCCCCTCCCTCTCAGGGTTGCCAGAGATGTCCAGTGGCCCAACCAAAGCCCATGTCCTTTCTCTTCAGGTGATGACCTTCCTCTGAGGAAGCCCTGTAGCGTGACTGGAGGAAGGGGCTGCCCACCCGAGCCCCATCTGGCCACCATGAACACCTCGGCCCCACCTGCCGTCAGCCCCAACATCACCGTCCTGGCACCAGGAAAGGGACCCTGGCAAGTGGCCTTCATTGGGATCACCACAGGCCTCCTCTCTCTGGCCACAGTGACAGGCAACCTGCTGGTACTCATCTCCTTCAAGGTCAACACGGAGCTCAAGACAGTCAATAACTACTTCCTGCTGAGCCTGGCCTGCGCTGACCTCATCATCGGCACCTTCTCCATGAACCTGTACACCACCTACCTGCTCATGGGCCACTGGGCTCTGGGCACGCTGGCTTGCGACCTCTGGCTGGCCCTGGACTATGTGGCCAGCAATGCCTCTGTCATGAATCTGCTGCTCATCAGCTTTGACCGCTACTTCTCCGTGACTCGGCCACTGAGCTACCGCGCCAAGCGCACACCCCGCCGGGCAGCGCTGATGATCGGCCTGGCCTGGCTGGTTTCCTTCGTCCTCTGGGCCCCAGCCATCCTCTTCTGGCAGTACCTGGTAGGGGAGCGGACAGTGCTGGCCGGGCAGTGCTACATCCAGTTCCTCTCCCAGCCCATCATCACCTTTGGCACAGCCATGGCCGCCTTCTACCTCCCTGTCACAGTCATGTGCACGCTCTACTGGCGCATCTACCGGGAGACGGAGAACCGGGCACGGGAGCTGGCAGCCCTTCAGGGCTCGGAGACACCAGGCAAAGGGGGCGGCAGCAGCAGCAGCTCAGAGAGGTCTCAGCCAGGGGCTGACGGATCACCAGAGACTCCTCCAGGCCGCTGCTGTCGCTGTTGCCGGGCCCCTCGGCTGCTGCAGGCCTACAGCTGGAAAGAGGAAGAGGAAGAGGATGAAGGCTCCATGGAGTCCCTCACATCCTCAGAGGGTGAGGAGCCCGGCTCTGAAGTGGTGATCAAGATGCCCATGGTGGACCCCGAGGCACAGGCCCCCACCAAGCAACCCCCCCGGAGCTCCCCGAATACAGTCAAGCGGCCGACCAGGAAAGGGCGTGATCGAGCGGGCAAGAGCCAGAAGCCCCGCGGGAAGGAGCAGCTGGCCAAGCGGAAGACCTTCTCACTGGTCAAGGAGAAGAAGGCGGCTCGGACCCTGAGTGCCATCCTGCTGGCCTTCATCCTCACCTGGACACCGTACAACATCATGGTGCTGGTGTCCACCTTCTGCAAGGACTGTGTTCCCGAGACCCTGTGGGAGCTGGGCTACTGGCTGTGCTACGTCAACAGCACCATCAACCCCATGTGCTACGCACTCTGCAACAAAGCCTTCCGGGACACCTTCCGCCTGCTGCTGCTCTGCCGCTGGGACAAAAGACGCTGGCGCAAGATCCCAAAGCGCCCTGGCTCTGTTCACCGCACCCCCTCCCGCCAGTGCTGATGGCCCCTCTCCTGCACCCCTGCACCCCAGTCCCCGGGAAAGGCCGGTGGAAAGCGGGCAGAGGCTGCATCCTCAGCCCTAGGGCCCTGCACAGGCCTCACCCGGCTTCCCAGGCCCCTAGGTCACCTTCCTGGACAGCCCAGAGAGACCCTGCCAACTTTCCAAACTTTGCTATTCCCAGGCAGGGAGTGAAACCCGGGGAACTGGTTTTTCTGTTCCCTGCTGGGTGGGAATGGGCTCTTCACCAGGAAGAAGGCCCGGGAGGAGGATCCGGGCTTTGGACTCCTTGTTTGCGTTTAGGCAGGAAGTCAGGAGCCAGCAGGGCGGGACAGGAGAAAGAAGGATTAACATTAGTCTTCTTGGCCCAGTGGCGGCCCAGATTGCGATCTCAGATGGCGCCCTCTGGGGGCCACAGCCCAGAACTGACACCAACCATTGAGAAAGAAAAGCTTGGCTCACAGGGAGCTGGGGATCCTCTCCCTCCATAGGCAGAGCCCGCCCAGCTGGGCCCTAGGCACACTCCCCAGGATTGTCCAGCCTCCTTACAAATGTCCTCAGAACATCCCTGTGTGGGTCACCCCAAGGCAAATGTCCAAGCATCAACAGGGCAATAACACCAGAGGGGATCAGCTTGGCTAGTCACACATCTGGTCCCAAGGCAGCAGCAGGACCAGGTGCCAGGTGTCCCAACTATGTCATTTCCCTGGGTTCAGGGGGAAGGGGTGCCTGCTATCCAGCCCCACACCCCTGCCCCCTGCCCCAGAAAAGCCTCAGTCCCTCCCTCCTGGCTCACAGCCGCCCCCTGGATGGATCTGCTCCCTGCAGACCTAGCCAGGCCTCCCGCATGCTGCCTGCCTCCAGCCCTGCCCTACACAGGCCTGGCCCAGCCAGCAGTTTCTCTCCTGTGAGCTCCCCAGTCCAATCCATGCATGGCCTCCCAGCCACCCTGACCTCCAGGCCCAGCCTGGCCCCAGATGTTCTTTCCTTCCATCCTCAGCAAGTGCTGAGTCTGTGAATAAAGCCACATAACCAGCGGGCACTAAGGGGCCTCCCTCCCTGTGTTGGCTCGAGACCCTGATCTCAAGCCAGGGCATGATGGGGCAGGGAGGGCCCAAGTACTGTAAAATGTGGGCTGCGGCCCTGAAGGTGGTTCCAGGACGGGCAGGAGGGAGTAGCTGGATCTACCGAAGCCTGTGGGTCCCAGCACCATGGTTCCCCGGCTCAGGTGAGTGGAGCTGTAACAACCAGACCTAGGCTTTGGAAGTGGGGCCACTAGGCAAAATAAACTGCCCCTGCTGACACCTGTACATACTCTCCATTGGCCCTGCCATACCCAGGGAGAACAGAATTGCTCCAAACCCCCATTTACAGGTGGGGATAATAAAGCCCAGAGGCCCAGGAGGTTGTTCAGGGTTATTCTGCAGAGCAACACCCAGGCCTCCAAGCAATCCATAGCCTCCGGACCCTGGACCACGGAGATTCAGGGCTTGGGTGGTATTTAGGCCAAAATGCTCCATCAGGGTGACCCTCAGGCCAGGTTATAAGGTATTGGTGAGGGTTCTCCAAAGCCTAGCATAATGGAATCCTAAAGAGGTTAATTCCATAGCCTAGAACAGTGGTTCTCAAAGTGTGGCTGTTACTGGGGGTCCCCAAGATCACCTATAGGTCCAATGATTTGCTATTAATAGAAGGATGCGCAGAACTCGGCAAAGCTGTTATACTTGTAGTTACAGTTTATCACAGTGGAAGAATACAGAGTAAAACAGCAGCAGAAAAAGGTGCATGGGGCAGAGTCCGGGAGAGACCAGGTGCCAACTTCCAGCTGTCCTCTCAGTGGAGTCTTGCAGACAGTACTTAATTCTCTCTATGATGTGTGACAACACATGTGAAGTACTGCCAACCAAAAAAGCTCACCAGAGCCTTGGTGTCCAGTGTTCTCACTGGATTGGTCATATAGGCATGGCTGACCACCCATCTGGCTGACCTTGGTTACTTACTCTCTAGCCCTACTTTCTAGCCCTTCTAGAAGTTAAACTGATACTGTATGGCCCAAGGCCTCCACCATAAATCCCATTGTTAGCATAGACTCTCTGGTATGGCCTAAGGCACACAGGTAAGCAAAAACACTCTTACTGGGCAGCATATTCCAAGGGCTTAGGGTTATCTCCTGGGAGCCAGGCAAGACCAAACCCTTTCTTTGAAATGTGCAGGCTTTGGACAGTCATCCAGACCTGCTGAATGACTCTTTTAGTTCATAGTGGTTAGGACCACCAATAGCATCAGTGGCCAGGCGTGGTGGCTCACGCCTGTAATCCTAGCACTCTGGGAGGCCGAGGCAAGCAGATTCCTTGAGGTCCGGGGTTCAAAACGAGCCTGAGCAAGAGCGAGATCCCGTCTCTACTAAAAATAAAAAGAAAGTAATTGGCCAACTAATATATAGAGAAAAAATTAGCCAGGCATAGTGGCGCAGGCCTGTAGTCCCAGCTACTCAGGAGGCTGAGGCAGGAGGATCGCTTGGGCCCAGGAGTTTGAGGTTGCTGTGAGCTAGGCTGATGCCACGGCACTCACTTTAGCCTGAGCAACAAAGTAAGACTCTGTCTCAAAAAAAAAAAAAAAAAAAAAAAAAAAGCATCAGTATCACCTGGGAACTTGTTAGATATGTAAAGTCTCATGGTCACCCTAGATTTACTAAATCAGAAACTCTGGGGGTGGAGCCCAGACATTTGTTTTAACAAGCCCTCCAAGTGATTCGGATACAGGCTATAGCGTGAGAGTCTCTGACCAGAGGGATGAGGTCCTGAGTGGAGATATATCCTTGCAGAAGGAGGAGTGGGGATTCACCTCACACATAGTTGTTGGGACTGCCAGAAGCCTGTGGAAAAAAGCTTCCAACACTATGGGCAAGGCGCAGGCGTCCTCAAACTATGGCCAGCGGGCCACATGCGGCCTGCTGAGGACATTTATCCGGCCCGCCAGGTGTTTTTGCCGCCGCTGCCAGTCCTGCTTAGCAGCTGACTCAACTCGTCCTGGGCCCACAGTGCGCATGTGTGGAATGTGCGCCGCACTCTCCAACGGCCCTCCAACCGTCTGAGGGACAGTGAACTGGCTCCCTGTTTACAAAGTTTGAGGACCCCTGGAAGGGCATCCACCAAGGAAGCCAGCAGGAAGCCTCGCACTGTGGGAATGACCCTAGGACACAAACCCCATACCCTTCTCCAACCAGCACAGACTGTGAGCTCAATACCCTCAGTGGGCACCTCCCTTCCCTCATAGCCCGGAAGCCTCCTTTGGGCGAAATGCTCTGCCCTGTGTTGAAGGCATTAGAACTGAGGTAGCCGAGCAGTGTTGGGAGAGCAGGATCTATGGAGTCCGATTAATCTGACCTCTACTGAAGGCCAGAAGTGGGAGGTCAAAGCTGGCATTCAGATCAGGAATGGGGCTAGCAGGCCACACTTGTTCCTTGTCCCAGACGCAGGTCCTACCTGCCATGTCTCTCACTGAGCAACCTGAGACACGTCTCTTATTCTCAGTGTCCTCATCTCCAAAAGAGGAACAAGCCCTGGCAGCAGAGTTAGGAGGATGGGATGAACTGTAGGACAAGCACCTGGGTGGCCCTCTAATCAGTGTTACCCCAGGACAAGGCTGCTCACAGGTAAATGCCACACACCAGGGCCAGTTTCAGACCCAGCTCCTTCCCTGCACTTCCAGCTTGAGCTCTGAAGAGCCCAGAGTGCCCTGTGCCAAGCCCTGGGAGAAGAAACTTGAACTCCAACACCACACAGGTTAGTTAAAGGAGCAGAGGGTGGGAGAGGGAGGCCACGCGTTCCCAGAAGACTTCTCAGAGGTGAGGTCTGTGCCCTGCAGGCCTCTGAAGCAAGATTCCTGCAGACCCAGCTGCCAGGGAATGGAGGAAATGGCATGGGCCGGAAGGGAGAGGTGGCGGGACATGGCATCTGTCCATC